GTAGAGCTTAGGAAGCTGCGTCTCGGAGAACCGGCAGCTTCAACGAACGAACTTTTGAGGCGATAGATTGCTGTATAAATGAGGCGATGCGGCGTTGTATAAAGAGAGCAAGAGTGGTATGCATGGGATAGATGTTCGTGTTGCAAAATAATTACAACATGGAATTTTTACTACCAAATAACTCAGGGGATTTTAATGCGGGCTTCTGATTTGCGTCGAACCGTTGACTCGGTATTTGTTGATTAATCTCAGTCTGGTATATCCTATTGGAGGCCTAGGTACAGCTGACAAGACTGTGGTTGGTAAACAGTCGGAGTGCTTAAGTCAGGAGTAGGGGAACTTTTGAGTAGTTTAATTATGGAGGAAGCAATGATCAGGCGATTACTACGGCCTAACTCATAATCAGAATAACTAGGATATGTCAATTCAAGCAGGCTGAACCCCTTCTAAGAGCCTTCGAGCTTAAGCAACCAAAGTTTGCTGACACAAGAGACTAACCCTCCAACTGTCGTCCTGCCAGGCGGTTTCTCTTCGGCCTTCTTCTGATAAGACTTAAATCCAGTTGAGTTCTGCTTATTTGTGCAACACGATTCAAAGCCTTTAAAAATCTGACCCGCTTAGGTCACAAGTAATTATCTGTTGATCGTATGTAATCGTCAGGGCCGAATACAGACAAAGTTTAGGCCAGCTATGCAGGGAAGTGATCAAAGCTTGAAACAAAAGTGCCATGATCAACAGCCAGAGAGGCTTTTTAGTTGTAAGCCCGTTGCAAACGATGAACCAGAACGGCAAGAAATTCGGCGAAAAGTGAAGTCCATCCCTATGCCAACTTTCTGCCGCACTCCGCATATCTCACTCTTTAACACAACTATTAACCTGTCTTTACTAGACTATTTCAGATGTGAGGATAAAGGTTAGGTAGAGGTACTGGGATGGATGAGTGAGTGACAACAGAATCAATTTGCAGAAAGTTGGCCAAGGGATGTAGTTCACATGTATCTTTTACGATGTAGCCTTTTGATATGGAAATTTTGTCAACCAAAAGGTTGAAGACTTAGCAGCATCCTCTCGGGGACAGTGACCATTGACCTCAGGATGATGAGCAAATCCATTATTCATGCAACCATAGACTGGAACTTTGCCTGTCTGCAAATTAAAGCTAGTCAGTACTCATTAATTTTTGCGTGGAATTTCATTTCGTGTGATATGGTGTGTGGGCATGATGTCGGTAGATCCATCTCGTGTAAAAATGGCAACTGATTTCTTATTCTGCAGTCGTTTGATCCTACCACGACCTCCAAGTTGACGCATTTTGCAAGACATCTGCTGTCTTCATCGTCAGAGCAGAAACTCATTCTTACAAAAGCTTCATGTCAACTCTAAGTCCAAAATACCGGCCGCTTCTACCTTCATTCCTCAAAACCTTATTGAAAAATATGGATGGATTAGAATACCCTAGTTAGTTATTTTTCAAGTTGGTCTAAATAGTCATATGCCTGAGTGTGCGTGCGTTAATTGACTTTTGTACAAGTCTAAGTCAGACTACGAAACACCAGTCATGATTCTGAGCAATTACAATGGAATCTAGCATCAGTCTTGGGTCATCTAAGTTTAGTGACCCAAATAAAAATACATCTGAGGTTACGTTGGCCTGAGCGTACGTCTGGCAGAGATTTTAAGTACGACAGAGTAAGACAGGGTACAAAACACCCAGTCATAATCAGTTGACCCGGGGTTATCACGGTTTAGTGACACAAATAAGTGCATGACTGGACTTGCGTAACCTTCTAAGTCTAATTGTGGTGGTTAGCTCAGCACAACTGTTGAGCGAATATGTGGTTAGAGCCACCAGATCGCTATCCGTTTTTGCTACACGCTCTTGAGAAAGGATGAAATAGTTTGACTTGGTTAGCCACCACTTGGTTGGATCCATCTGCCATGAGGAAAATGTATAATAATAAATCATATGGTACATTTGCCTATACAGTTGCCGCGTTATCTAAAGGAAATCTTTCCGTCTGAAAGTCAGACGGTTTGAACGCATTCGTTAGTAAGACAGCTAGATTTCCTAAGATGGGTTCTGCAGGTGGTGACAAGCCATCGGTTGGCCCAATGATCCTAGCTATGCAGGAAAAGCCAATTGCCGTTTTGCTGTATGGACTGGTAAGGAGAGCGTCAAAACGGGCCCAGTTAAGCAGCCTCCAAATGCTCCTCTAAAGAAGTCGTATGACTAGATTGGGACCAGAGGACTGAGTTTATTGGCAATCACCATCGCCTTCTTAGCGTCTTTGTTTGTCTTGCCCATAAGAATTATGACATCCGGCACCTCGTGCGACCCCACGATGATATAACTTTTGGTTCATTTGGATACTGAACTTGGCCTCACAGAAAGCCAATGAGTCATCCAGAATGAATAGATTTCGCAACTATCAGTAGATATTGAATAAGAGCTGTTGTATGATATGATAAACAACCGATTGTTGAATTATCCCACAATCATAAGAATAAGGTTGATGATGCCTACTCGTATAGTCTTGGGAAAATTCAACTCTAGTCCTTCATTATCTTGTGCGACTTATGGCGAACGTACCTCTTATTGAAGATGTAGTAGTATTTTCGAAATCTAGTTATTCCGAACATAAGTAATGTAATCTATTCTAATGGCAAATACAAGAATGCTTAATCAACAATCTCACGAAGATATACGAGAAAAAGGAGGCCTAGCTAGCTTTGGACCATTACCACGAACGTTCGTGGAAATATGGTATGGTGGTAACATAAAGAAAAGCTCAATTTCGAAGAATTCTTCAGTAATTCATGGTGACATGACTTTGAATTTTGAGCCGAGGACTTTTTCAGACCTCTTTTAGTTTACGATGAGACCATCTCAAAAATTTCTTCCAGGCAACTTTTCCTTAAATATGGAAAGTTATGTGCTTGTAACATATCGAAATCATTCACGGCATTACCACAAACCGA